CATGTACTGATTCTCATCACTTTTCCAAGTTTTCTTGTTAAAATTAAAAAAAAAAAAAATTTCTTCTTTTTTTCGATGAAATCGATTATGGATTTTGATAGCCAAGCGCTTGGTTTGAGCTACTGTTCAACCGATGATCGAGTATAATCGATGATCGTGACATCACTACCGGACCGTACCCAGGGTACGTTCCGGCAGTACCCCGGGGGACATAGACCCTCTCAGCGTTACGCTCTTCACCTAATTCATGTTTTCACATAGACGTGTAAGCATTTTAGTCCATGCATTTCTATATAAGTACCTGTTCCGAATATAAAATGGCAGACGCCCAAACAGCTACCGTGACTGTAGCATGCATGTCGCTATAAGTGCGGAGATGTGGTTTTTAAAACAATTTGTGTGAAGTAAAATCATAGACTAACGATATCGTTATTGATATTGTTAGTATATATATGACAACATTTAATTATAGGCCATCATCCTCGGCACTATTGCATGTTAGTATGTTACCGTGCACCAGCTAGTGCGCGATCACATTGGCTTCAATTATAAATGGTAATTTAGAGTTGCTCTAATTAATGAGAAATCCAGTATTGTGATTCATAATGTTATTTTATAGCCATATATATATATATTATATAGCCATAATATATATATTTTATAGCCATAACAACATATATATATATTATATATATTTTCATAATGTTATTTACTATAGTACCCTTGTGCGTACGTACGGAATCGAGTTCATGCATGCCTCCAAAACGATATGTGTCGTTTGTTAGACAATAGTCCGTGTTTGAATTCCTAATCAAGTCTGTATTATATGGTTGCAATTAGTCAACGACATTCAATCGTTAGTGAGTTCAGGGTACGTTACAGATTTTCCACGTCATGTTCGGTTCGATGTTCGTGTCGAGTTATTGTTCCATGTCTAGTATGGCTGCAATCAAGGTCGAGGTTATAGCATATGGTTTTTCACATTCATTATATTACTACTACTAGTTGTCACCATATTTTCGACCATATAGATTTTCACCATATTTTCGTGAACCTGTGAAAAACATTACTGGAGACGTGAAACCATGCACAACTTGTAGAATAGTCTGTATATTATATATATATATAGTCATTGGGCCGGGTGTCAAGATGAGGACAATATCCGTTTCTCATTTTCTTATGTGGTCATCGTAAAAACTAATCGGCCACTGGGAAGATATCTTTTGAGCTGTGGAAAGTGACTTGCAATATGCACTATGGCTACATTACAGTGCAATTATCAATGTCAATTAATTAATTATGTCAATTTAATTGGCTTGCGGTACTAGCTCTTTGATGGATGTTACATGGTAAAGCAGAATTGCTGTGAAATGTATTGGATTAGAGGTATGTGCTTTCTGAAGGAGTACATGTTTTACTGGATAGGAATCACCAGGCCACGCGTTGGCTACAGACGGGTCTTTGGAGGCAAGTGTATAAACTCGCTAGAAAGCCGTCAGGAAGTTCTGTATATTGGCTTGAAAGCATCTGCGCGGTGAAAGTGACTTAATTAGTGCGCGAAATTTTGCCATTTTATTAACGATTGAATCCTGGAGTATGGTGGCCGAGATGGCTACGGATATTTTTATTCCAAATTCATTTTTATTTCAAATTCATTTTCATTTCAAATTCATTTTCATTTCAAATTCATTTTAATTTTAATTTTAATTTTAA